TGGTAGAGGCCAGGAAACCCTCTTGGCTTACCACAGGAATCCAGGAGTGCTTAAAAAGAAAAAGGAGGCTTATGGACAGTGGAAATGAGGGGTAGTCACCAAGAAGAAATACACAAGTATATCCCGTATTTGTAGACAGAAGATAAGGAAAGCAAAAGTAGCAACTGAAATCAAGGACAATAAGAAATCCTTCTTTAGGTATATAGGGAACAGGAGGAAGACCAAGGGAAGTGTGGAGGAGCCCTTGCAGAATGGGACAGTATAGCTGGTAACAAACGGTCAGGAGAGTCCATTTGTGAGAAACTGGTAGAAAACATGATGCTGAAGAATAGCCAACATGGTTTCTTTGTGGGCAGGTCATGTCTGACCAACCTCATCTCCTTCTATGATCAAGTAACAAACCACTTAGATGTGGGAGATGTGGTTGAGGTCATATACTTGAATTCTAAAAGGGCCTTTGATATGGTCTCCCATGATACCCTTATAAAAAAACTGGGGGATTGAGGGCTGGCAGAGTCCACAGTTAGGTGGGTTGGGTAGTGGCTAAGGGGTCGAACCCAGAGAGTGTTAGTGGGTGGGTCTGTATCATCTTGGCAGGAGGTAGCCAGTGGTGACATGCAGGGTTCAGTTCTTAGTTCAGTGCTGTTCAACATCTTTAGCAACTATTTAGGCTAGGATGTGGAAAGCACGCTGGCCATGTCTGCAGACAATATTAAGTTATGGGGAAAAACTAGGGAATAGGATGCAGATCCAGGTAGACGTGGACAAGCTGGAAAGGTGGGCAGAGTGGAACCGGATGCAGTTCAATAAGTATAAATGCAGAGTGCTTCATCTGGGGAGAAACCACCAGCGGCATGAATATAGGTTAGGAGGAGATGTCCTGGCCAGCACCATGGCTGAAAGGGACCTTGGGGTTATGGTTATGAACATGAGCCACCAGTGTGATGCTGTAGTCAGAGTTAACAGCATCCTGGGATGCATTATCAGCAGGGCTAAGGATGTGATACTTCCTCTCTGCTTGGTAAGACCCCAGCTGGAGTACTGTGTCCAGTTCTGGGTGCCAGACTAGAGACATGGAGAATCTTGAAAGGGTTCAGAGAAGGGCCACAAAAATGATTGTGGACCTTGGAGGACAAACCTTACGAGGAAAGACTAAGGGAAGTTAAGATTCTGAAAAGTCAAAGAGAATAGACAGTAATGAGTTTAACAGGATCCATCTGGGAAGTTCTACCCTAAAAATCAGAATCCAGAACCAAAATTCTCATGATCACTCCAGTCAGGTTTGCCTACGCTTTAAAAGGAACAAAACACATTTAAGTGCAGCAGTGCTGAAGTTATGAGTTGGGATCTTTTCCCCTCCTCTGCATTTCAACTCTTACCTCCAGTGTATTGCCTTTAAAAAAACCTGGCCTTCAACCTGTCAGCAAGCCATGCAAACTACAAAATATTAAGAAACTATTGGGAGGCCCCTCTAAAAAGGTAAGCACACAGGATAAACTAACAAGAAACATATTTTTAAAAAAGTCTATTAGTACCTCTAATTCATAGAATGCGGTCTATCTTATAAATCTAACCTTTCTTGCTTGTGACCATAAAACTGATTTGCTTACAGCAATAAAACCGATGTTCGTATTTTAAGTGCCATAGAATATCACTTACAAGATCTATGAATCAGAGGATTGTGGCATCAACAACCTAACTACACAGAATTGTCTACAGAAAGTTGAAAGGCAATGGTACATCTCTAAGTAAACCCCTGGAATATTCTGAATTACAAGTAATTAACTGCAGTACAGAAAAGATAGGAATAGAAGAATAGAGTCAATGAAGTAGGGAAGAAGAAAGTATTTGGTCTCAGAAATCAAGCTGGAGCTACATCAGTGTCTTAGACACTTTGACTGGCTACTAAAACATAACAAATGCTACACAATCAGCACATCTACACGAGGCATTTACTGTACACTTGACTAATTAACTGCACAGTAAATGTCTTGGCACCTAATATGCACCTGCCAGCCCAGGACAGCTCTAACCCAATTCAGTGTGCTGTGGAAGGGCTGGCTGGGGCACAGGGTACTTCAGCGTGGGGGCTAGCCAGCAGGCAGCCCCTGCGCTTAAGCACCCTTGCGCCTCAGCCAGCATCTCCGCAGCACACAGAGCCTCCTCAGAGCAGCCCTGGGCTGGCAGGCTGATGACCCCCCCGCCCCCGGGATCCCTTGCCAACCCAAGCTATTCCAATGGGGCTCCACCTGCTGCACAAACTCCAGAGCAATAAGCTCCAGTTTATTCATGTGCATTTATTGCATGTGTAGACAGGACCAGTATATACCATACCACAAGCATTACTATGCACCATAAAATCAGCAGCAAAATGTAAAACAGCTCTTGTGAAACTAGTATACCTGGGGGCAGGGAAGGGATAGGAGAGGTGATGGAGGGGAG